AAAAAGCCAGGGGTCCGAGGTGGGGGGGGGGGGCAGACCCAACAGCTGAAAATGAATTTTGCATTTTATAGTTTGAGTCAATGTGTCTTTCAACATTATGCAGGCTTTGGTTCTTGCAACTGGCAGAAAGGTTAAACACGGTGCACAGAAAATAATTTTTACTGGACGATTCAGGCACTATGTATGGGTATTTCTTTGTCCATTCTGGATTAAACTTAGTATTATAATTTACTGCACCTTGATATATTTTTTTTCCAGTTTGGGTTGTTTTGATGTTGATGGACGGCCAGATACCAAAACTAATCTTGTTTACTAGATTGACAGTAAATGGCGCGAGCTTGATTGTATGTGATTGCTCATTTCATTGGTTATCAATCGAACAAAAAACCAATCACTCGACGCCATACACACACGCGGCTACTGTCTATTTTAGACCGATAATTTATCCTCCCTACCAATAGCGCACATTTAAATTAAAGGACTTGCACCGTTCCAACAGTTTTGCGAAAAAATTACATGTTTAATATAATATGATAAAAAAAACTTAAACACTGATAATCTTGAGTTTTAACAATCAAGCGTGGGAGCGTGATCTGTGTTTAAAATACGTGAGAGTTGACATGTATGTAAGCGTATGTTATAGCATTTTAAAAGGTTGCGTTCATGCACCCACAAGAGATATGACGCATTGTTGGGCGACTAGTTCGAAGATACAGTGAAATCCCGTTTTTACGGCAGCGGAAGTCACGTGACGCTGGTAACACGTAATGAGTTCTAGAAAGATCGGGGAACATCACGAATAATCTAGTATTTGCTAGGCGCCCTCTATTCTTGTATATAAGTGTGCTAGACAATTAATCGAAATGAGATAGCAGACAGAGAGATTGAAGATATAGACGGACAATTGAGTCAAGCGTGGTAGTAAGTAAATGCGTGAATCGTTCATTGTAAATTATAGCGAGTGTTTAAGTTAAGGTGACTGTGGAAATTAAGTGTATTGCAAAGTTGAATTGAAAAAGAATAAACTAGTTTTGTTTGAGAAAGGACTTGTATCACTGAAGTTCTTCAGAAAGAATTTTTACGAGTAATTAACAAACGACCAGAGACGTAACATTTATATACGTGGCAATAAATCTGAGATAAGTTATAGGTAGTTGATCATTGAGATTATCGTCAACTATAAATAATAAATACATGGTCACCATAGATTACCTTTATGTTTTCACTTTCGATGAATGTGTATCTAAATGTCTGTTTCTATTTAAGTAAATCTAATGAGTTCTTAACTTTTTTAAGAATTTCAAAACGATTCTTCTAAAGCCTCAGAGTTTTTCATTAATAAATTTCTTTTCATTTGTAATGTCTTCATAGGTCTAAGTTTAATTTTTGTTTTATATAAAAACCATTGGCCATACAAACAAAATAATGTCTTTTAAACCAGTTATTTAGTTCCTCAATAAAAAGTCTTTTTCGTTGGACACTAAGAAATAATTTAATTCTAGGATATTGGTATCCGCAATAATTCCATGTGAACTGTTCTACCAAACACAAACAAAGCTCCATAAAAATATCACAGGTTGGGTATTCATAATTGGGAAAGAAAAATAACTATGGTGTATACGACAACCATTTCTTCATCACAGAATATAATTATAAATAAAAGAAACTAGCCTCACAGCAAGAACATGATTTTCACTAGGACTGTACATGAGGTTTTGATTATATTTTATTGGTGTAATTTGTATATATAGTACAAAAAGTGTAGTTCTTCTTTTAAAAAAAACTATTATTTTTCAATAAAGTGATAAATATACAGGTACACTATTCTATAATTAGATTGTAACTGAAGTGATAAGTATTCAGGTACACCATTCTATAATTAGATTGTAACTGAAGTGATAAGTATACAGGTACAACATTCTATAATTAGATTGTAACTGAAGTGATAAGTATACAGGTACACCATTCTATAATTAGATTGTAACTGAAGTGATAAGTATACAGGTACACCATTCTATACTTAGATTGTAACTGAAGTGATAAGTATAC